ACTTTCTAATTTCTCTCAAAGCAACAGTACCTGGCTTATATCTATGTGGCTTTTTAGGAGTACGTGTCTTGCTAATAGTTGATGGTTGTTTTATAGCTTTTCTTGGTGCTTTGCCTCCAGTTGATTTTCTTGTTGTTTTTCTTCTTGCTAAAATAGCAGCTTCGGAAGTATTTTTACTTTTTCTAGTATTTCCTTCGGCTAAATCGGAAGTATTGGAAGAAGAAGGAACATCTGCAGATGAAAAATTTGCAACCACATCAGAAGCGACAGTAGATGAAGAGTTTGTGGTATCAGATACCATTGAATCATCAGTAGTTTCAGTAATAGAAGAATGAGAAGTAGTATTTCCAGTGATGAGAGTCATTTTTTTAATTTTGAAAAGGTTATTCGGAGCATCAATAATTTGTACTCTCACAAAATAACTCTTTCAAATTTTGACCATCTAAAATAATTTCTAAAAAATATTAACCAACCGACAGAACTCTCAACAATGCCAAAACGATCAGTTACTAAAATCATACCAATGTATGAAAGTATCTACGATTTACCAGTTGTCATGGTTTGTATGAAAGGAGAGAAAATCTCCGATGAAGCTTTTATTAATCATTTGTATTTTCATTCGAGTGTCTTTTATCCAACCGTTAATGATTGTACCAAAACCATCAACACAATCATGCACGAACTTGAAAATGTTATAGCAATTAATGATGATTTTATTATTGATGAAATTCCAAATCCTATGGATTTAAAAGAAAAGCTCCAACTCTCAAGAAAAGCAAATAGATTAGCTATTTATTCATTAAAGACAATGATTATGATGGAATCAAAGATGTTTAATGCTTTGTTTCAAAAGAAACCATCTATGAATCAATTAAACAAGGCTCACAAATTCCAAAATGTAATTCATTTGGAAATTGATGAAGAAGATGTTTCCGAAAATGAAATGACCATTTGGAAAAATAAAGAATAATTTTATTAATATAAATTAATATCCTTAATAAATATTGTTTATTAATTAATTATATAAAATTAATCATCAATATAGTCATCTAAAGGGTATATATAATCATTAAAGTAACGTAAAACCATACTTTCATCAACAAAGTTATCGAAAGGTTCCCATGTTGATTGTTTGTAACCATAACCTTGCCATTTTACAAGGTAATTGAAATATTTTGGTAATAAAAGATCAGAATCAATATCTATATCTTTTTCGATTAATTGATGGTCTAAAATCTCATCAACTACAAATATATCATCTGTTTGAGTATCTTGTAAATCTGAAGAATCAGCTGAAGAATCATCTGACATATCTGCCCATCTCCTTTTGGTACCTCCTTTCTTTTCCTTCTTGGATCTAAAAGAGGAACATTTCTTATATTCTTCTGGTGTCATTTTAAATTCAGAGAAGAACTTTTGCAAATCTTCAGGATTTAATGGGATGGTTACACCATCAAACCAATGATGATCTTTCAAATAACGATTCACATGTGAAACCAAATCTTCAAAAAACACATCCCTTTCTGAACTATTCCAATAACTATTTAGTAATATCTTGAATTTTGTAATAACCCGACTTTTTACCTTCCAATAATTTTTGTTGAATTGTTTTTTATCTTCCTCTGTAACAATTTCAAGATCTGAAAATGCCATAAGAGATCTATAGATAGATCCCATGAAATTAGTAGTTTCTGTTAATGCAACCGTCTTTCCAAAAAGAAACTTCAGTTTCGGTATGTTGTCAATTAGCCAAGTCTTGCATTTGAAATCAACTCTTGTTTGTGGAAGTGATTTTCTTTGAGAAATTATATTCTTGTTTGTTTGAGGAATATTCATAAATCCAACGCTCTCATCAATACATTCATCTCTCATAAATAGATATTTGAAAGGTACGCAACCATTAGGATTGGATTTTCTAGATGTTATATATGAAGATGGTGACAATTCAACATTCAAAATATTATGAAAAGTAGTTTCCAATGTATCAGATGATGAAAATCCATAATCTTGAATAGATCCTTGAACATATTGAAATATCATCTGCCGATGATGTACAGTATCTGCAAGGTACCTCTCTGGTAGTTGGTTGAATATTTTGAAAGCATATCTTTCATATGATTTAATTGAGCGCTTACTGACATGTCCTAGCATGAATGAAATTGCACTCTTTGTTTGCTCTTGCACAATATGGTTTCGAATAATATCAACCAACATGTTTTCTACCACAATACCAGATCTACCAGCACGTGCACAATACATGACATTTAAAATTCTCTTGGTGATATTTCTAATATATTCTGATATTCCATTTGAACAACATTGAGATTTAGATTGTTTTTTGAAAAATAAAAATTCTTTCACTACATCATTCTTAAATGTGAATTTACCATCTGAAATGAATTTTTCCCAATTAGAATTAAAGTTGGCAAATATCTCAGAACGAGTGTACCACAAATAATATAATAAAATGAATGATGAACAGAGAGTATGATTCTGCTTTCCAAATATTGACACATTCCTTGATGAAGTGGTTGTACGCTTGTCTTTCTTCACTTCCATAGAAGTGTGAATAACGAACCATTTATCATCATTAAGATAATATTCAACTTTTTGAAATTTTACATCTTCAAGTCTTATCCAAATAAGAGAATCTCCTCTCATTCCAGTAGCTCGAATAACATGCATGATGGCAACATCAGTAAGATCTTCAACTTTTGTCAAATCAGCAGCATAGGTAACTTTGTAGACCTCAGAAAACATCATTGGAGCAACTTTGTACACTTCACACCCATATAATCGAATCAAGCCCATTGTTGTTTGTTGAATAGCTTCCTTAAATAGAATGACTGGACTTTCACCGAATTTAGGATGTCTTTTTATGAATTTGTTCAATCCATACACAAAGCACCCTTTCATTGTCTTATGCGAAAAACCACTAGCTCGACTGAATATCAAAAATCTAAGGTAGGTTATCTTTTCAATAGGGAATGGTTTCGGTTGAATCTTTGACCACGCTGTTTTGCCTTTGATTTGTTCTTTCCAAAACGACACATAGACAATTCCTGAATAAGCTTCAAATTGTCTAGTATTGATATGCTTATGAAGCTTCATTACAGTGACAACCTTGGAAATATCTTCATCCAAATCATCAACAATTGTTAAATCTAAATTTGAATCAATTTCCTCATTGAACTCTGGTCGAATAACAGCAGATTTCTTTTTTTTTGGAGTATAGCTTGCCACAAGGAGATCTTCAACATCATAATCAATTAAGCTAGCTTCCAAATTGTCATTGATCTCTTCTAACATCTTTTCCTTCTCTTTCGGTGATGATGATTCTACATTACGAATAAGGGATTCTTTTCGAATTTCTTCATCAGTCATTTCGGGAGGGTTATCCATCTTGTTCATTCTTTCAATCTCTTGTAAAATATCTGACACAACATCCTTTTGATGCATATAAGGCTGTATCATTGTGTCTAAATCTTTAATTGATTGAGCAACACCAATAAAATTGTTATTATGATTTAATAATGCCATTATGTGATGAAATGACTGCATAGTAAACTCAGCATCCAAACAATAAGTAACTCCGTTATAATCAACATTGATTGATTTGGAGCCAATATACTCCTTGTTGTTTAGCAAATCATTCATTTGATAAACTCGCGATGATGAGTTCTTTGATACTAAGGCGCTCTCATCCTGTTGAGTTGGTGGGAGTTCACCGGTTGGTGAATGGTTGTTGTTGGTGCAATCACTTAAATGAGAGCTTGTAGATGATGATGGAAGCATTTTTTTGAGAGAAAATCCCCGAAATTTCCATTAAGGCAACTTTACAAAGTGAGCCCTCTTTGAGTATTCATAAATATAGGCAATTATCGTGCAAGAAGGCCTTTGTGGCCTTCCTGCATCAATATCTCATCCAAGTAATAATATTTATATATATAAAATTGGCAAACAGCATTCAATTTATTCAAATATTGATGTAGACAGGTAAAAATGTCAATAATGTCATTTTTTTTACCTTACTGAAAAATGACCTGTTTTTGAAAAGCTCCCATTCAATGAGTTCAGTGAATTAGAACTGAATTTCTGTACGATAATGTAGTAATTGAAGTCTATTACGATATCTGAAAAATTCAATATCCCAATATTTAAACAACAAATCTGGGTAATGTAATTAGCCTGCAGTCTCCCAAACCCAAACCCAAACCCAAACCTATTGCTCGCCTATTAGAAGAACACTATGGAACTAGTTTGAATATTAAATGCAATACCAAGTATTTAATTTCATCAGAAACTGATTACATTTCAATTTACAGATTATATACAGATACTGATGTTGATTGGTAAGTAACCTAAACGAGTTAGATATAATAATTGTTCAAAATAGGTTGTTTGTGTTAGCAGTTCCTCAATGGAATTACATTAGGTCAATTGTTATTGCTGTAATTTGTGCTATTGTTGGTGCCACATTCATTGTCACAACAGGTGTAGCCATTTCCATCTTCATTTCAGTCAGATTAGTGAAACCATTTTACAATTTGATTGATTTATTCGAAAGTGTCTCTCATATGGATTTGGATAATTTAGAAATTCATGATTCCAAATTTACAGAAGTGAAACAGTTACAAACTCATTTCAAAACCATGACAGACAGAATCAAACTTTACAGAGCTTTCATACCATCACATTTACAAGTAATTTTGTCTCATTCATTTTATTAATGTTACTAAGCTCTCTCTCCATATTTGAATTGCCAGCTTGTAGTATTAAGCGGAGAGAATCTCCCGTTTAGAATAAGAAACGGCCTGAATCCCGTTCATCCCGTTGCCCGTCTCACCGTTTATTTGTATCAACTCATACTGCTACATATTTCATATTGCATTGATTCAAATCCAATTTCAGAACAAAAACGAATGTATTTGATAGAATTTGTAAAGAGTTCTTGTTATTTTGGGGTTAGTCTTTGATTCCTCTGTATTCAAAATGCACCATTGAGAGAAAACGGAAGCTTGTGTAATAAAAGGTTCATTCTACCAATTACTGTTGTTTATTAAG